ATTCCATATCTTTCATATTGTAAACTAATTACACCTAAAAAAAACTTTGGGCCATGATTTTATCTTAACAATAAAAATTTAGACTGCTTGCCATTCTCTCAAAAACAATTTAGATTTAGTTTCTTATCCAAAAATAATTACCCTTAGCTGAATCTAATTATTTTTGAAAATAGGTAATGAATAGCTGAATCTAATTATTTTTGCCTTTTAGGCCTTAACTAGTACTATTCTTAAATTACAAAAAAAAAAAGTGTGCCACAATCTCTGACCATAAGCAGCTATGTGGTTACCACCTCCCACTAGATTGTTATAGACACCAATGTCATGATCACTTGTATTATGGTATTCTTCGATAAGTACTTAATTATGATAATTAAAAATATTAATATATAAATTAATTTTAATATGTTAAATAATATATATTAATTATTAATTAATTATTAAAATTATGAATTATTTTAATCATCAAACAAATCAAAATTCATATTTTAATAAAGAACATTTATAAAATTAAGTTACTTAATATTTTAATTAGTGACCATAACCATGCCCAAGCCCAAGTAGATAGCAAGCAATTTTTACATATTGACATGGAACTTCAAAGCTAAAGCCTCCATTTCCATAAATATCTAATTTCCTCAAACGCGCTTTTGCCTTCCTCAAGTCTCCCCTTCCCCATCCCACATTCCCACTCAATCCTCTCTGCCCACCTTTAGTTCCCAACTGTCCCCCAAACCCAAGGGCCAAATACCCTTGAATTCTAAATTGCTAACGCGTCTCTATGGCTGGCATTTTAGAAACTCCTTCCGAGTCGTTTCCAACACTCTCTATTGCACCTATAAATACCATCCTCTGCTTTCTTCTCCCCCCATCCAATTCCCCTGCTCTCTCACCTTCTCTTTAGTAACCTCACTTCATTAAGCTATTATTTTCACTGTCCATGGCTTCCTCTGTTCTCTTCTTCCTTCTCCTAGTCTCTTTGCTCTCCAATTCAGAAGCAAGGAGACTCACCGAATCAGACCAGACTCAGCAATTAGCTTTCCAGTACCACAATGGTCCTCTTCTCTCAGGTCCACTCTCTGTTAACTTGATTTGGTACGGTGACTTCAAACCTTCCCAGCGAGCAATCGTCTCCGATTTCATTTCCTCCATTTCTTCGTCGTCCAAGGCCACCGTGGCTCAGCCTTCCGCGGCCACATGGTGGAAAGGCGTCGAGAAATATTACCAGCTAGGAAAGAAGTCATCTTCCCTTTCTATTTCTTTGGGTACGCAGATCCTTGATGAGAGTTACTCTTTGGGCAAATCTCTCACGAACCAGCAGATTGTGCAATTTGCGTCAAAGGGTTCCGAGCAAAACGCAATCAATGTAGTGTTGACGGCGGCCGATGTGGCTGTGGAAGGGTTCTGCTCCAGCAGGTGTGGGACTCATGGGTCTGCAATGGGGTCTACCAAGCGATCCAAGTTTGCTTACATCTG